CAGAATGCTTAAGGTTGGAAGGGACCTCAGAGGTCATCCAGTCCAACCCCCYTGCTCACGCAGGGTCACCCAGAGCACGGGGCACAGGGCTGCGTCCAAGCGGGTTTTAAAGATCTCCAGAGAAGGAGACTTCACAACCTCTCTGGGCAGCCTGTGCCAGGGCTCTGTCACCCTCACTGTCAAGAATTTTTTCCTTAAGTTCCTGTGGAACTTTTGGTGCCTCAGCTTGTGGCCRTTTCCTCTAGTCCTATCGCTGGCCACCACTGAAAAGAGGCCGCCCCCTCCTCCTCACTGCCTCCCTTGAGGTATTTATACACACTGATCAGGTCCCCCCTCAGCCTTCTCTTTTCCAGGCTGAACAGGCCCAGCTCCCTCAGCCTTTGCTCACAGGGCAGATGTTCCAGGCCCCTGATCATCCTGGTAGCCCTGCGCTGGACTCTCTCCAGCAGCACTTCTCCAAATAGGCCTCACAAAACACAAGAGCTACATTTAGGCATCTRTTAAACAATCCTTTGTTATTTTTTAATGAACTGAAGCATTTAATGAGACATAACAACTGAATGTTCACTAGTTCACTAGAAGAAAATGAAGTGTGTTGAAATTAACGTTTGATTCCTAGGGCTTTGATCTTTCATCATCGTTTCTTGCTGTCTTGTCTACAGTTCTCAGAATACTGATTTTCAGTTGTGATGACAACTCTGATGCCAATGAAAATAACTGGAGTATTCTATGTTTTTGATACTGGCTTCTGAKTTAATGTTGTCTCTGACTGCAGTTTTAGGAGTGATGTGAGATTTAGCTTCATACTAATAATGAAAATGTTTAAGGAGACTGAAATAGAAGAATAGGGAAATTGCTTCAAATTCATGACTAGGTGAGTTGTCAGAACAGAGAAGGCCTTATGAAAACTCAAGACTGACAGTTCCAGACGGAGCCAAACTTCACAGAATGGCAGAAGCAAGACCAAACTCCTCAGTTTTTGTGACTGAAGCTGATTACATCTGTACTCTGTACATTTATTTTTTGCTTTATTTTGRAGTAGGTTTTACTTGATATCAGGAACGCACCCTGCTGACATTATATTCCCTGAGAAATATAAGAATTCCACAGACAGTAAGATACTAAGATAACATAAGACACAACAAGTTCAGAACCATTATTTTACAATCAGTACTCAAGTCACTAAAAATTTACGTTCCTAACATCCATTAAAAACAATTGGGATTTTAATTTTACAGTGAAACTAAACATCCATCAAAACATATTATGTTCTTACTTCAATGGTATTACTATTTTTACTATTACTTAGCAAAAAAAAAGGGTACTCTTTCACAGCAGGCTTAAGTCAGTCCAATTGTAAGCAAATTCCTTTAGAAACCGGCTGAACAGACACTGATATTCAGCAGGGATGCAATGATAGTAAGCATACTGTAGGAACAGAGGGGAGTGCAGTATCTCCTCCTAGCCTGATAGCTCTGCTTAAGCTGGTTGTTAGGCAGCAGGGTGAGAATTCATCTCGCTGATTACTCTACAAAAAAATCTCACACAATTTTTGGATCTGAGCTCTGGATTTTTGCTGGCTTTTGGATTCTGTTCCAATACTGGAGTGTGATTACTTGCCTGATTTGTTTCTTTAAAACTACTTGAAAAGCTCGTAAATGCTCATTTGCCAGCTACATAAAGAGACTTTGTAAGGACAGAACCATAAGAATTTGGTCCTAATGCAGATGTTTTACTTAAACGCTTCATCCATTCTGGGATCTAATAATACAGAATTCCAGATCTGGAATAATAATCCTCTGTATCTGCTTCCATCTTACTTGAGCGTGTTTGGAAATGTGAATGAATACTTTATTTGGAAACTTGATTCATGACTTGTGTTTATATAGACAATGGGACAGTGTCCTTAATCCTGAATAKATTTTTTTTATACTTATAAAGACAAGTATACTATTTATACTTTMTAAAGACAAGGCATATTTCAAAATCTAAGGCTTCTTTGAAGGCTCTTAACTTGCAATGTTTTTTCATTCTCCGATTAGGAGTTTCAAAAATACACGGTCCAGGTAAATCTACCATCCTCTTTCATCAATGYGTTTCTTTTCAGCCTTGCCCAGCTAATTTGCAGGGGTTTAGTGCTAACAGTGTTTCGGTTTGCTACAATTAAAATGAATGTCAGTGGGTTTGGATGTGCTCAGATTTTTCAAAAAATAAAGTCTTCCRAAACTTTCTTAATCTCTGTCCCTTTTCCTCGTCTTGATTTTATAAAACTGTTAGCAGTGTTTTCAAGCAGAGCAATCAAAAACTGCTGTGCTTTGGGATCTGCRTTGGAGAGGAGTCTGTAGTTTCAGAATCTACTTACCCAAAACCCATGAATTATTTTGCACACTAAAAAAATCATTTCATGCTTTGATATTAAATGGCCTTGCCCCTCCCCTTCCTCAGTCACTCCCACCCCCTCTCCCTTTCTCTCTCCCTATCCCTCCTTTTCCTCTCCTTTTCTTTTCTTTCTCTTCATCCAATCATGCATTGTTACCTTTGTCCTTGAAATAAAAGCATTACAAGTTTTTATGAGCCATAGAAAACAGATAAAGAACTAGTTTAGCGGTAGCAAAGACACCATGTTTTAGTCATTTTTAAATACAAAAAACTATCAATGACTTGCTTAATACAAGCAAAGTCTATTATTTTGCCTTCATTCCTCTGCAAGAAAATTCCTTTTAGAATTTATTACTGACAAATGCATAGGAGATTAACCTGTTTCCCTAATGGTAATTTATAATGATGTTGTAATCCGCCCTGTGTAATGCTGTCTTACCCAGAGGAAATAAAAACAATTCTAGCATGAAGAAACCCGACTGCTGTGGGTGACACCTGGTTGCCCTCACTTCCATTACACRCCCATTTATGTGGGTGTTTACAGACTCACCCTGTGGAAGTCCCTCCCAAGGAATTCATGTGAGTGTGGGCTGGACTACATCAATTTCTCCATAGTCAAGGAGGAAATAGTGCTCTGATTTTCAGTGTATTTAGGAAAGATCCCTCAAACATGTTGCTGATATCAATGGGGTGAAGATGTTGGAATATGTGTGTGAATCCAGCCCTTAGTTTTGAGCAAAGCTGATTTTAGAAGGGATAGTCAAAAGGACATTCAGCATGCTGAATGTAGTTCTTAACACCGTAGCTTAGTGGCAAAGTTACGGCTACAGTCAGGAATGGGAAAATCACTGTGGGACTGATACCTGAATGAAAATAACACCTTAAAAGTGACATGACAATCTCCTAATTTATCTGAAAAAATGGAGAAGTCTGCAGTATAGTTTATGTTTATCTTCTATGGGAATCCCACCTTGGGGATTCATTAGACCTTCTGGGAAATACTGCTTGACCATCCCTGGCTCAGACTGCAAATGATCATGCACAACTATTTTGAGTAGGAAAGGGTTAGCTCRTGAACAAGGTATAATGAAAGAGGAAATAGGGTTGAAAGACATTTGGTCTATTCTAACACACAGTTACAATTTTATAATGAGTGAGAAGGTTTTTTCTTTGTTTTTGTTATTGAAGTTACAGGCAGATAACTGTTCAAATCAAAAGGAGAAAAAAAATTTATCTGCCCTTTGGTAATCTCCTCCAGCAAGAGGAGAAATAATCTGCCAATTATTTCTTAGCCCAAATGAAGTTAGTTGGTGTTCCCAGGGGATTTTTGAGGAGGTAGATGTCCACATCACAATACTATTACCCCAATTTGCTTAGGTATTAATAGTCTCAGCATATACAGTGTTTATGTATTAGGTTATTATTTTTATTTCAATTGTTTATAGGAATGCAGGAAGAAGGCTGTTGCCTTTTTCTGGGAGATGAGAATTACTTCTACATCTGTGGATGGTGTTTGAGAATTTCCATTTTCCTAAGCTTCAATCTCATATTTCTCATATTGCAAATAAAGAAAATATGAACACATTTTGTTGATTCTGATAATTACAAAAGTTGCTGATGGCTCGAAAAGGATAAATTGATTAAAAGGTGTGTCCAGTATTGCCCCATTTTAAACCCRCAAGATCCCATCATCTTTCACAGGAGAAGGACACATGCTCAAGTTTTTGCTAACGAAATGTTTTGTGATTCAGCAGATAAAATCTGCTATTGAACAAGTAGGGCAGGCTAAATGAAACAAAGACAGAGTTATGAGTTACAGAAGGATTCTAGATCTTATACACACACATCTTGTAAATTTAGCATAATTTTACAAGATAGCTGTAGATCCTAGAAAAAGATAAACAAAAGGTTTGTTGGTATTTGCAAATGTTATTGGCACAAGATTTCATCTTTAGTTTGGTCTGACTTCATGACGTTACACTCTCCAGTAGTATTTCTGCATCTCCAGACAAAATGTTTTCTACCATAGGTCACAGAAATAGGAATAATGTTAATGACTGGAAAGGCAGTGCAATATATTCAGTTAATGAAAGAGCTTGAGCTGTGCAGAATTATTTTGGGCAGACACACACATATATAGTAACCAAGATTAATTTAGAGACCTTTGTCATTAAAGCAGATTTTTGTATGGTTTTGTGTGGGATTTAAGGGGGATTAAGTGTTTGACATCACTTTGCCTGCACAGACTATATTGAAGAGGTTACGGAGCGGGTGATGGAAAATTCAAGTATGCGCCCACACTGAAAGAATGGAAGCAATGGATCGGATTGTAGCCTGGCAAAACAACTTGCTATACCTACTACATTTCTAAAAGCAAGGYGCTACTCGTTTGACGGCAGATGCCATAGGAATGTAGAGCTTAAGGAACTTGTGTGATTTGCCAAAATATGTGGGGAGCTCGGAGAGGATGTCAGAACTGGGATACCTCTGCCATCTGTTTTCAATGATGCCTTGTTTCACGTGCATCCTTTGTATGCTATGCTGTTTCTGAAGAGTAAAACACGAAAAATAAAAAGTCATCAAGGTAGATTGGTTGTTTAAGTGCATTTCTCTTTAGGAAGAGATGGTCCTGGTCATGAAACTTCTGTTCCTCACTTGCCTGTGGCCGACAGCTGTGATACACAGCTCTCCAAGTCAGCATCACCATCTTCATCAGCAGCAACAAATCTCATTTTTGAGAAGGCATAACAGGTAAGTAAGATACTCTCTCTGTTTGTGTTCACTTGATAATTTTAATGCTGTTTGTCAGCCACCTGTCAATGCACCCTTTTTGTTGACTGTCCTGTTTTATTGCCTTCTGAATGTGTTCTGTATGTAACACCTTGTTAGGGTATTCCCAAAATACAAATGGTAGTCTATGAGTTAGCAGTTTTTCCATAACTCGCCATTTCATACCATGATTTCATGAGTGCTTCATGTATATGCAGGTATGTACACACTCACACCCACACCTGTCTCTTTTTACCTRTATGATGCCATATTACTACTGTGATAAGCATGTCATTGTCCAAACACAGGCGTGCTGAGCATTTTGCCTTCTCACACCCRTTACAAGAAGCAGAAATATCTTCCCAAGTTGTATACTTCCATTCCTTAAAGAGCACAGTAACTATAAGAGACAGAAAATATTTTAATGGCACTAGATGAGGTGATTTGGACTGTATTTTAGTGATGTCCTAATGTATTCCATTTCTGTAATATAGCTAKGCTTGCTTCCACACATCACAAAAGGAGAATGTTTCATCTTGGTTTTCCTRTTTTAAAAGGAAAAATTGTCTACAGCTTGTTGCACTTAAATTTCTCTGCAAAGTGTTAAGATTTTTTTCCATAAGCACATTTTCATGTTTTACTTGTGAGGCCTGTGAATGTGTTTCCAAATTGACTTTATACTACAAAAATGGATGATAATGTTTTCTGAAGACCACCAGTGATAATCCAAGCAGTCAAATCTGTCTTTATTTGGAGGAAGGAAAAATTGCAATACATAGCTCAATTCAAGGAAGTAGAAGGGAGGCATTTTTTCTGGGTACTCGACAGAAATTTTGATTAAAATGGGCAGGGGAGCTCATAGTTTGCTCTTATTATATCGTGTATTGTAACATAACTGAACTAGTCCAATGTGTTTGAACTGTTTTTAAAGTTATAGACTTTGTAGTAGGTAACAGTAGTAGGTTGTAACAGTGGGTAGCAGCTGCTTAACTTCTGTAACATGTCCTGTGTGATAACCTAGCTTCTGACTCATTAAATGTTGTGTTAAAATTAYGTGTAAGTAATGCAAGGCAACGGAGCATACCTCAGTAAAACAGTAGTGTCTGGAGGTGATTGAAAATGCCAGATAGCTCAATACCTCTCAATTTCAGCTCTTCCTTATAGGCTCAAATGAAGTCCAAGTCAAAAGCCTATGGAAAGAACTGGCTAGTAAGCAGACTATCTCAAACTCAATGACAGTTTTGGAATAATTGTTTGTGCACATTTGTAATAATAAAATAAACAGGAAGAAAAAAAAAAGTTCTAGTAGGATCTAGTCAGGTGCTTTGCAGCGTCAGACTGTTAAGAATTGTTAAGAATTAAATGGAAGCAAAATGAAATATCTTCTTATCCCTGGAAAGGGAAGAAACATATGTATTAACATTAGCTGACACATTTTTGCCAGCAGTGAAAGGGAAACATATGTTATTGCTGTTTGTATTTGTCCTGTTTTGCAACAGCAATAAAGAGTTGCTTCATCATTGACATAAAAAATCCCAGAGGGGAAATAGAAGCCTACTCGTAGGAGGCAGCATATGTCACAGCATCGTCCTGGACGTCCTTCACTGACCTCTTGTCACATGATAGCAGTAACAGTTACTGTTAGTATCCCTTCCATCTTCATGGACCCTTACCAATAACAGTGAATGTCCCAAAGGACACTCCCGTGAGACAGGCAAAATAAGTGAAAAGCACAGAGGAAGAACAGAAGTGAAGGGGGAGTGAATGCCAGGACCACATCTTCATCTCACAAACTGATGTCGTGGTTTTCTGATATATAAAAGGAAATGGTTTGGGCTTCCATGTCCACAGGCCCTAACAATTTARAATTTGCAACTGGGAAGAAGACTGCAGAATCTGAGCCATAGAAGATCCCAAGGCTTAACAGCTGCAAATCAGCTTTTCGGTGGAAAGGGTCCAAATACATTTAGTTTCTCTTTGTTTGAATCTCTCTCTGGTTTTGCTTCTAAAGGCAGCATTATCCTCCAGTACATTTCAACAGGATCTGACTTTCAAGCAGCCTCTTTTTCTTTCTGGGGAAAAACCTTTCAGCCAGCACCAGGGTTATTAGGGACACAGCTGACAGATGGCCTTGGTTAAATGGGTGGCCTTTTAGAAAGAATCCCATGTGAAAATGTTACTTAACCTACAAGTTCTACTGGTTTAATAGAGTAACCCAATTCTCCCGCCAAAGCTATTTGTCTGCATTCTCTTGTAAAGAAGATTTTAAAGCATTAACCAGAAGTACATGAGAAAGAGATTATTCTCATGGTCCATTTCCTACAATAAAGAACAAAACATTTGATTATCAAAATATTATGCTTTCTGAMAATACAAGTTGCTAATGTTACTAAACACTTGGAAATGCACTTCAATGAGAGAGAGTTGTAAAGTTCTGAGAATGTACAGAATCTGAGTTTCAAAATTTGATAAGTATGTTAAAAGTTTAAGAGATCACACTGTTGCGTAACTCCACAGATATTCCTGGGAATAATATTTCTGCAACTTCTTCCTTTGATTTTGTGGAATGGTGGGGAGTATCTCAGGAGCACTGTACTAGAAAGAACCTTATGGCCATGAGATCTAGGATCTGTCATGGTTTTCTTTTTGTAAATGTAAGCATTTTAACTTTGACTCTGATGAGAATTTTGTATTTCCATACCGCAACAATAAAGGCAGTGTGGTATTTTGGATACTGAATTCGTGTAACTGAAAGCAAAMCCCCTCCTATCTTTTCTGAAACGTGAGTTTCAGACTCAGAAGCTATCAATAAAAGTCTATCAATAAAGCTCAGATGAGTATGGTGCTGGAAAGTTGGTTATATCTTGCTGCATATCTTGCTCCAGCCTTCYTTCAGTGCCCTGCCAAGGAATTTCTCCCGTCATTAGTTATTCAGGGCATTAAAACCAAGGAAGAGGATCATATTAAAAGTTTACATACTCTAGCGACCTGCTTCCAACAATGGTTGTGAGCAGAAATTTGGAAGAATAAGAACAGGGCACAAGACACTGAGCTCTGAGCCCATATAACACTATTGGGTAGTGAGGTGTCCAGAGAGTTTCTCATAGTTTTCTTCCATCCCAAGTGGTTCCAGTAATAAATTCAGCAGGAGTGTCATTCCCATGTGATCTGAAACACTTCCTAGGCTTTTTATGACCTCTTTTGGGAATTTAGCTGTAGGTTACCTTTCCATTTGTGTAATGTAAAGTGTCACCTGTAACAAGGCTGTTGGAAACAGAGCTACTGTCACTGGAAGCAGTATTTTCCTGAGCATGTGTTTYACTAAGGCTGACAAGCTCACATTTAGCATTGGCCAGATCTATGCTGATACCAAGTCTTATGTCAAGATTCCCCTTAATGCTACTAAAGGAAAGGTAAATAGAGATTTGTTTTCTTTAAGTGCACATGGGTTGTCTCTCTCTAACACTAGAGCTTCTCATTTACTATACAGTGAGCATGCTGAATCAATGACTGCATTTAGGCTCCCAGGTTAATGATGTTCTGACTAAAGCTATGTGAAAAGGAGACTAGAGTGCCAGGCCACCAAAATATAATCTTATGTCCTTGCTAGAACTTCAATGAGAGTGAAAAGTGTCATATCCCTGGCAACTGCAACATCACTAAGGTGTTCAGTGGCCTAGGGAGGGTTTTCTGAGATCCAGGGTACTTAAATCTGTCCCTTCTACTTTTTAATAGAATTGGTCCCATGGGAAGGATCACTCAAAACATTTGCCGAGGATTTCATAGTTCTATGTGACTGATCAATAGTTAGATATGGGTCTAGGATTTCTAGATAAGCGAATATATACATGCAATTCCCTTTGAGTCATCAGTTAAATAACTGTAATGCTGCAGTGAGGACAATTTAATACTGTAACTCTTAGCCAAGGCACAACATCTGGAGTCCAGATGTTGATGTTAAAGAAATATCTGTCAGCGAATACGTCTTAGTCTTGGGTGGAGGATGCTGGTGGCGGGTGAAAATTTGGAAGCAGAAATGATTTTTAAAATTTATTTAGGATCTTTTCTTTTCTCAGCTGTGATACCTTTACATGTGCAATGTTACCAGTGTCCATAAAATTCATTCCAAATAAGTACTCTAAGCACATATCTCTGCACATGAGCCTATCTTATTTTACAATAAACAAATATATTCTGCCAAAGAAGGGTAATGAAGTAAAGATGCAAGATATTTGCAATGAAAGTACCACTCTGCCTTGCACAAGACCTTCCCTAGCTTAATCCACTACTTCTGATAGTGGCTAGAAATAATGGATTGCTTTAGTGCAAATGTTAGTTAYTTTACCATATGTATAAAGAAGATCAGATTGAAGATGCTATTGTAGTAAGTAGGCACAAAAGATACTTTCCACATAGGAAGCTTTTGTATTTATTTTGTCCTTATACAGGAAAATGAGAATATCAGAAGCCTGCAACAGGTCTACTTTCAGTGGCTCAGTGATTAAGAATAAAATTTCTTGCACTGATAGCTTGTGTTTTGCCTCTTCAGAAGGAGATGCCTAGGAAAAATTTTCCTTAGTCACATATTTTTTTTTGTTTCCAATATGAAGTTGGAAAGGATAATACAAGAGCTGGATCCTGTTTCTTCCAGAGAAATCATCTGTATATCAAATAGGTATCTCTTTTGGCACATCCCGTGACAACCTAATGCTTTCAGGATCTATTAGCTGTGTCACGGGATTCTGATTTTTATTCACTGTCTCCTATACTCGTTCCCAAGCAGGAGAATTTTCCAATATACCTCTTTTAAAGTGTTGCAGGTGTTCGGTTCTACTGCCAGTTCTACTGTGATGGAGGACTTTTAGTCTATGGTTTTAGTGGGTTTTATTCTTTTAATTTTAGACACCATATCATTTTCATACTCAGAAAAAATAAAATCATTCTTTGAAACTTCAAATGGAAGTTCTGATTCCGACAATAATTTGCTTTAAACAACATTACCAGAGACATGTGAGGATCCTCAAGGTAAACTAGTCTGACCAAGCCTTGTGCTTCTAAACAAGCCAGGAGTTCATCTCTCCTCAGCATTCCTGTTACATAGCATTTTTTAAAGTAATTTCCTGGGCTTCATTATCAGACAAAGGAAAAAGCAGGGAGGGGACAAACAAAAACCAAACAAGTAAATACTGTATGCCTCTGTGAGACATATGCTTCATCCTAAAACTACTCTATACCTCATACGAAGCAGTGTTTGGCTCCGGGGCAAAGCTACAGAGCAGGGCAAATTTCTGTCATGCAGGCTAAAGTAATAAATAGAATTGCTGGCAGCAAAGTTGCAGAGAATGGTAAAAAGTATGAAAAGAGCAATCTGCAGAGAGATTCCCTTGCCTGAGGCAAGGCAGTTGCATTTATGTTATTCCGAGAGATAACTGTCTAACCTATGCTTAAATAGCCCAAGTGAAAGGAGTCTTAAAGCCTCCCCAAGCAATCTTTTCTAATGTTTCACTATTCTTGCCATGAGAAAGGTTTTCCTAATGTATATGCTAAATCTCCCTTGTTGACATTTCTTATCGTACCTGGGAGCAGACATGAAATAAGGAACTCTGTATTTGGGTATTTTGAAGGCCCTGTGCTAGCCAGTGGATCACTTCTGCTTGTTGTGAGAAAAAAAAATACAAAAATAGCACGTCTTTGGTGAAAAGAAATGTCTTTTACTGCGTGTCTGAGCGGGAAATTAAGGATGAGATAACAAGCAACAAACAAATGAGAAATTTATACCTGGTAACATTTAACTTAGCCAAATATGAACTATCTTTCAAAAGGATCTCAAAAAGCGAATCTCTCATTCCAGGGCAATCAGTTTCAGAGTCCTTCAGAAAATTACCGATTCATTTGACATCTGAGCATAAGAAGATTTCTAATAGAAAATAAATTTCTATAATATGGATAATATGTGAGGTAGTTTAAAAGTATTGGCACATAATACTTTTTCCATGTCTGATTTTAAAGTGGTTATGTCAACAATAAATTCTTTTCAATTGGCTATAATTTCTCATAGAACGATAAATACAGTCTCTGAGGGGAAGAGAAGTAGACATAGAGGTTCCTCTTATTTTTTTTTTATGTATTTTGTGTTCCTCAGCGACCTTGGCAATTCATAAGTGATTTCCTTGCCTTTTCCAATATGTATCTTCCCAATTTTATTAATACAGTTGTTTCCCTTACCACACCAGATTCACATTTCAACAGTCCAGGATTKTTGCATGCCTGTTTCATTTAAGCAGTACTCTGAATGTCAAGTAGAAAAAATTGAAGTTCCTTACATGTCTTTTTTCCTTCTGTGTTTTTTTTAATTTTATTTTTCCTTAAATATAGCAAACGAGAAATTAAAATGAGGAAACTTGACAGCACCAAAGTACGGCCACTTAAGTCTGAACAGCTTCTCCGCATAGAGGACCATGACTTTGCACTGAGACCTGGATTTGGAGGTGAGCAGCAGATGCCTGCACTGGGCTGATTAGTATTTTATTCTCTATCTGGAACTTACCAAAACTGTGCAAAACAATGTCACTTAACATTGAATGACAGCTTTAATTACAACTCTCCTCTTTCATTGCACTTCAGAAAATAAAGAAGAAACTAATAAATATTTGAAGGCAAGGCACATTTTTGTGTTTAGTGTACTGATAGGAGAATTGGGAAACTAATCAAATAATATTGTTAGAATTCTATTCTTTGCAAACAATGATTAAGATATATACTGTAAACTGCATAGTCTAGTGTAAATTAACAAATCACTTAAGGTTCATCATATATGAAATCACTTGAGAGTCATGATATATGTTTTTTTTAGAGGTTTAAAAGAACTAATTCCTAAAGTTGTCTGAACTGTATAAGATCATAGAATTACTTGCAAATCTTCAGTRTATTGTGCAGTTGCTAGACAGTTGAAAAGTATAGTGATTATTTATTTAACTATATGTGGTAAAGAAAGTATTCGATGGGATGTTAGTAGTTTGGTTTCSCTGAGAGTCAGTCTTTCAACTGGATCCTCACTGCCATTTCTCTTTGCATGTGGGCTATGATGCATTTATAAACTGAGCATTTTGCTTCTACTTCATGAAAGGTAAAATGAGAAAGCTGTCTTACTAATAAGCTCTTTCTGATCCTTTGCGTCACCAGTTGTGTGTGTTAATGAGTTAGAGAAAAATACTGAACTGCTCTAGGTGATGAAGCCAAAATAAAATAGACAAGGACCAATACTCCGCTGTGTAAATAAGCATTGGTCTGGAGGCTGTGAAGTGTGTGGAGCTCTTCTTGTTTACCCCAGCCCCTAAAGCCTGGCGGGCATACCATGGCACCCCAGGCCATAATCCACACCACAGTGTGGTGAGGGTAGCTGGGGTACCTTTATATCTGGACACAAAAAGTTATGATTGCCTCTTACCRTCCAATGTCTGTCACTCAGGGCAGCTCTGTGTTAGCACCTGCTTTGCCACTCAAAGAATTTAAATATTAGAGAGCATCRTTTCAGAAAGGAAGTAGCATTTCCATGAAAGCAATGAATGGTTTGGGAGGCACTTTAGCTTGTATTGTCCCAGAAAACAATACTTTGATGTACGTAAAAGCAGCTTTCAGAATAGACACTGTGATCTGGCAGTTTTAATTTTCCACAGGCAGTGAGGACTTTTTTTGCACACAGCAAATCTGTATCAGTTTGTTTTTTTATCTTGTCCTTTTATTCTCAGATGACAACTCACAGAGTCCATTCAATTCCTATTGAAACCAGCTGTAGTTTTTCCACTGACTTCATTGTACAGGCTCCTTAATTATCACAATGCCATGGTTATGAGTTCAGCTGTACGCCTGTCTTTCAGAAATAGCTTTCAGTAAAACAATGTGTCAGCTTTGTCTCTCTTCTGACTATCATCCACAAGGAACAGCAGCACAGCTGGCACGTTTTTTTCAGTCACATCTCTGATTTCATGCACTTCCAGAATTTCAGAACTCTCATAATATGTGGAATATTCATGTGTCTCTCTCTCTAAAGCCAGAACAKGGATCCCTTAACATTTCTATAGCACATGTAAGTCCCAGCAAAATGAAAATGGCTTCTAAACGTATGCTCTGTTACTTCTGTTTTAGCATTGACCTCAGTGGTGTTGCAGTAGCAAGAGAAGGTTGGTTTTTTTCTTGGAGGAGTCAGGTTAAACAGATATCAGCATAAAGACACTACACAAGTTTGGTCTCATTAGAGGACAACACTCACCCACTGAATCATAAATCTGATTACCATACCTAGAAATATTGTGTGAAAGCAGATATGGAACGTGGATTCTGTGAAGAATGGTCACAAACACTAAACGAGCAACAGAAGGAAACTTAACTAGAAGAGAAGATGAAACTAGAGATGTCATTGTTAAGCAAGCAATAAATAGGAATCATACACACCTTCTCACTGCCACCTTTGCATATCCACCTTTACACTGCCACTGCCCATTGCTGTGGCCAGGGGACAAGAGCTTTGCTCTCTCTGCTCCCCACATGCATCTGCAGAGAGCCATTCCTGAGCTACATGAAGGCTCGCAGCACTGCGACTTTATGGATTTAAAGCAGATGAAATTTGGGGTTTGTTGTCATCAAATCTAATAAAGTATCTCCCTGAACCCTGAAGGGCTTGTATCTGTCACATGCCACAGCGCATGATTTATTCAGCTCAGCAAGATATATCAGTTCACAGTTTTGATGAGAGAAAAAATAAAAAGGTCAAAACTAGTATTTTAAAGTAATCCTTTACCTGTAAAAGTAAGAGGGTTAACTTTTCACCTTCTCCTATAAAACTCCTAGTGGTTTTTTCATGGTATGTTACTGAAGTAGAATGAGAGATTTTCTTGATTTAGCTCYACTGTAGCCCTTTCCCTCAGAAGGTCGATCATCTTTTATACCAGTTTTGGGGAAGAAACATCTGGAAATTTCATGCTGCTCTGAACCTGCTGGAGATCCTTCAGTGCAGGGAACTCTTAAATCCAAATCTGATGAGTTTAATTCCATTTAGTCCCACAAATGCAAAGTGAGTGAGGCAGATTACAGCATCCAGAGTTTTTAATATTCATAATTAAATACAAAAAGGAAAGACAGAGAGAACACATGCTGAATTTGATATGTAAACTGAGCAAACATCTGCATAGGAAAAGAGTTGGGGAAAATTAATGTAGAACTGTTGGATACTGATGCCATTGACTGTGGAGTTACTGGAATTAATGGTGACCTTTTTCACATGACTGCTTGCTTTCATATGAAAATATATCATTGCTCTGTTGAAAGGAGGGTTTTTTTTTGGTTTTTTTTTGACCAAATGAACATACCGGATTAGATATCTAAACCTCAGAAAGATACTTTATCAGGATGAAGCAAAACCAGGAAGAAAGTGTTTCTACATTTTTGCTATAGAAATRCCATTTTGTCTGTAGTTCATTATATAATGAGATTGAGAGAAGCAAACCCATAAGTCACAATGCTCAAATTCTGTTAAGAAAAAAAAAGCTCCATGACTGTTACACAGGGTTTATGCCCTAAACCGGGCTCTTGGGCTTTTTTCTTTTTCTTTTTCTTTTTTTCCCTTTAATGGAGTTCTTGCCTTTTGCTCCCTGAGCAGTTCCACTTTCCTCTTTTGATTTGGAAGGTATATGGATCTTGTCTGACTCAGAGCGGCCTGCTAGGGAGCAAAGAGAACAAAAAAGTGCAAAGCTTTTCTGTGGGTCAGCATGGAACAGAGTAATTCTGTAATTCCACTGCAAGGCAGCTATGGAAGGTTCCCGTGGGTGCTTCTCTTGCTTAAATAGCTCTTCTCTGCATCAGTGAACACTTCAGGAATTACATTTAGACCTTGCAGCTAGAAGCACTGATGAAGGCCAGGAGAGGGGCATGTCTGGGGCCCTGCAATGGTATAGAAATGATTGCCAGTCCTGCCAAGGGTCACTGCTCATGGAGTTCTTGGAAAGAAAAAAAATGACAGCAGGCCTAGAGCCAGATCTTTGTGTGACTTCTTTATCTTTGTACTAGTGTGGGATCAAGTACTTCAACTTTTGTTTTAGTAGCTCGATAAACTGTGATTCTGTGGGAAAAGAAAGAAAGAAATCATGTTGCCTGCACTTTTTAGAATGGTCACCCCCATGTTTCAAACAGTGACAAAGTGTCAGCACAGGCCAGCATCAGACCAGTGTCTGGTGACAACTGAGGTTTCCAGCAGCTTGGCTCTGGGTGTCACCAAACAGGCTGCCTTGGTAGCCAAAACTGTATCCTTTAATGGAGACATTAGAGCTCATTATGCTTAGAAACACTTTGTAAATTACTTGCTTTTCTACTACTATATGCAACCATTTCTATATAGCCTATATTCCCTGCTATCCTATTTCAACATATTGGTAGAAATCATTGTTGTATGCTCTCAGTTTCCCAATTTCTCTCTGCACTTGCTAAAAATTAACGTCATAATTTTAAAAAGCATGGGAGTAGCCACTAAGGAGATGGTTCTTTTATTCTTCTGTGCCTTGGTTTTCTGACCTGCAGACCTTCAGCCCTCTCAGAGCTCTCTGAACTGTTTTGCAAGAGTAAAGAACCACATGTTTCTGTTTATGCTATATCCTAGGGATCTCTTAGTGTCTTTGCTAAGGGYGAATCAGTTCAAGGAGTTTTAAGACTTTCTCTCTGCTTTGTCAACCAGTGCAGAGAATAATAAAATTAGTACTTACTAGAAATGACAGAAAAGAATTAGTAGTATTTAGCTGGTCAAAAGGTTTCAGTCTTCCTGGGCAATTCACCTTCCAAATTGCAGTAAAACACGGTCTTTATTTCAATCTTTCTGAGGAGCACAGATCTCCATCTAGCTGTTGGGTATCATTAGTTCCTTCCCCCTTGCCATTCCCCTCCTCCTCCTGACCAATTAGTTGCATGTAAATTCATCTTAAGGAAAAAAAAAGTGGGCCCAAATATGTCCAAAAATTCAGCAACTCCAGTAGCTGTTTGCCACAAAGTTATTTTCATTTCTGCACCATGGTTCTCCCTGGAGTGTCAGAAACATCTTCTGACTGTGGAGAGAAAGGTTAACTTTGATTCAATGATTCTATGAAAGGGAAATGACTTTCTCCAGTGTGTTACTTACTGGAAAGACTAGCTGGGGTCTGAAATGGAAGGTGATTTGGTGATTTTCAAGACCTCTAACGGGCCCTTTTTTCTGCATTTTTTCTCTTACATCGGTAACGCTTCCGTTCCAAGCATTGGCTACTAGTAATAGCAGTCCATCTTTGTTTCCGAAGTAAGAAATAAAACAGGAACGAGAAGACTCCATTGCAAACAAATCCCCAGTTTAATCCATTGAAAGAAAAGCAAACCAATGCCCATGTAACTTAACTTCCTTGAGAGTCACTGACTTTCCTCCCCTCCAGGTTCACACACTTTTTTAGAAGAAATCACTCCTGTAGACTTTATGCTTCTTCTGCTCTCTCTCTTACTGGGAGCTTTTTGTAGATTTGTCTTCTTTTTATTTTTCCATAATGCCCTGTTACACACTGTTAGGCCAGCTGGTATTTAGTGGCTGGTTTTCCTAACTTTAATACTTATCCTATAGATTTGCAGGTGCAATCCATTGTGGGTTCAAAAGTTTGAACCCATGGAAAATGAGTCTAAAATAAAATCATATCCCTTTTAAAAAGAGTATTATATAGAGTATTATATAACTTGTCTGCTTACTGTCTATTAAAAAAAATCCATACTCATAAGGGAATTCTTCCAGTATGGTTAAACCTTTAAAATAAATAATAATAATAATAAAAAGTAGAAATGGCTTGTGTGAAGATAAATCCATCTGAAAACAATTCAGCTTTTTTTCTGCTGAGGAGTAATTATCTTGAAAATCTGTGGAATCTCCATTGTGAAAGTCGCTAATCCCCCTAAAATAATGATTTGTAGCAATGCACTAGCAGGAACTGAAGCTGCTCAATTTAATAACAAAATCCTCTCTACCATCCCCAGTTTTGTCAAACTGGGAGAATAAAAACYGTAGCTTTTCTCTGGTTACTTTTTTTCAACGTGAATTTGATGCTGTTGCCTGACAGCCAGAAATTGAAATTCTCAGTACATTAGGAAGAAAGCTGTAGTGCGGACATAAGAACAAACAAATCTGTTTAGTATTCCGGTTCTTATAGGATTCTTTGCAATGCTTATTGAAATGCTTTCTTTTCAAAAGCACCCAATCTTGGTAAAACAAATCAAAGTGATGTAGAATATATGATTCTCAGCAACCTATTACAAGAGTTAATGGTTACTGTATTTAGGGGAACTGGCTTTTATTCACACCAATAAATGTTCCAAGAAAACTACGAAGCTCAGATATCCTAGACCTGGGCTGGAAAAACGTTTATCTTATGCCAGGGRGTAATAAAAATACAAAAAGTCTTCAGGTTAGAAAAATCAACAGTATGCTGAAGTGACTGGGGTTGTGTGGTGTTAAATATGTTTATCATCTACCTACAATTACTGCCAAATTAGAGTCAGAATAAGAAGGAAATATTTGCAGTTGCTATCTTCTGTAAATATGAGATCAAGCCTGACTGGTCAGGGGATCCCTGAGGTCARGGAGTTTGGCCTGATATAGTCAATGGTGAATGAATACAGATAGGGCAGAGTTACTACCTTCTTTGCTTCAGTTTTTACGACTAAGGCCAGCTCTGAGAAATCCTAGTCCCTGAGGACAAGAGAGGAAATCTGGAGAAAGGCAGACATCACTTTGATCAAGGAGGATCAAGTATTTAGGCAAACTTGATACCCACAAATCCATGGGCCCTGATAAGATGCACTTAAGAGTGCTGAGGGACATGATGGATATTATTGCTAGACCATTCCTCATCACCTTTGAAAGGTCATGGAGATCAAGAGAGGTGCTTTAGGACTGGAAGAAAGACAATTCAGTCTCTTCAGTCCTCAAAAAGGTCAAGAAGGAGGACCTAGGAGACCACAGGCCAATCTGCTTCACCTCCATCCCTGGAAAGGTGATGGAGCATTTCATCCTAGACGTTATCTCTAAGCATGTGGAAGACAAGAATATGATTAGGAGTCGTCATCATGGATTTACCAAGGGGAAATCATGCTTAACTAACCTGATAGCCTTCTATGATGGAATGACTGGCTGGGTAGATGAGGGRAGAGAAGTGCAGGTTGTCTACCTTGACTTCAKCAAGGCTTTTGACATTGTCTCCCATAGGATCCTCGTAGATAAGCTCAGGAAGTGCAGGCTAGATGAGTACACAGTAGAGTTAGGTTAAGAATTGGTTGAAAGCTCAGAGGGTTGTGGCTGTTCTGGCTACAGCTTCTTCCTTTAGGCTAATTTTTGCCCTGCTGATGTGGCTTTATAGCAGTACCCAACACAGTGCAAGGAGTCCTTTCAAAGAACCAACTGTGTGTGTGTGTGTGTGTGTGAGCATGCTAGAAATGCAGTCATGTACTTATGCTACCACTAAGTTTGGGTTCGGTTCTGTGATTATTTCATTTATATTTGCCCAAATGAAGAAAACTATAGAATGAAACTGGAACCAAACCAGAGTACTGTTTGTTGGGTTAGGAAACTGTTGTCTGCACTTTTCGCAAATTTCAAGAAACTTCTAGGACTGCCATTGTCACACTTTGAASAGCTGCCATTCAGAGGAAAATAAAAAAGAAAGGAAAAGAAAAAAGCTTTTTTGTTTCCACTCTACACATTATATATGGATTTTTAGCTAGCTAGCCAACCTGTTTTACGATATGTGAGTAGCTGTTSAAAGAATGGTGATGGCAGACAACTTCATTTGCCTTAGATTTTTCCTTGACTCAGGAACTGGTAAAGCCGTTTCCTAATGTAGAGAGATGTTCCTCTCTTCTCCATTTCCACCCTCATAATCCTCCTTAAATGGGATGAAAACTACTGACATTCTAGTGATGCAAATCATCCCTGAAAGTTTTAATAATACCAGCTAAGATGAAATGTATGCTCAGATGTGTGAACTTGATCTGTGAATGTTGTTCACATGCTGTATAAATCCCTCAGTGGCTTTTACTTAGGCTAAATGTGCTTTTAATTTACAACATAATTTAGATTTCAATGGGGTACAGAGAAGATGACTCCACTCAGATTACAAACAGGGATTTTTTTGTGAATTACTTATGTGGTGTGGTTGAGATTGAGTGGGAAAAACAAAGATAGGTAGTAGTCAAATATACTTTAACTGAAACATAAAAATGTTTATTGSTGTTTATGAAGCCTGGTTGGATATATACTTTGGTGTGCTGGTGTGTCAGCATCTAGGGCAGAACTCTCCTGCTGTCATTACTCTTTAAAACAAGTAATGTTTTCCCAAGTACTGTCTAGTAACTCAATAATGAAGGAACTTGACTGAACTTTGCTGTTTGGAGTCCTGAATTTCCTCTTGAGCTTTGAGCCCTTGGTGAACGGATTTGAATGACACATTCCTTTCAAAGGCAGGAATGCTTTCCAAGCCAGACAGCACAGCTCTTGTCAGTACAGTAACATGTTCCTAGGTGCCTTAACTCTGTTCACATTTTCCCTTATTTTCCTGTGCACAATGTGTCCTCATCTGTACTATGCAGGGTCAAACCCTCCATTAAAATATACAAGTCAAATCAAGAGATTACAGAGCCAGATTTTAAAATACCTCAAAAATAGTTCAGGATCTTTACTGGTAAGAACTGGAAGCAGCTATGTAATCATCGAGGGCTGCTATTTTAAGGATAATTCCAAAAAGAGGCTGTTGTGGGTGGTTATTAGAAGTGTGATATTTATGGACTATTTTAGCTTTATGCTGATTTAAGTATAAGACAAGAAAAAGAGAAAGACCAGTTGAAGAAGTTGCTCCTGTCTCCTGCTGTTCAGTCTTCCTTGAATTCATATTTTGTGTTAGGTTACTTTAAATGTGTATTTTAAAAATATTTTAAGGGCATATTTTAAAATATGCAACTGGAATTTCATACACAAAGTTTACTTCTGATTTTCATTCGAAGTGCCAAGTATTCTTCAGTGTGTGTATACACATACATGCACAGTCTCCTTGTGTCCATCCCTGTCTCTCTCTCTCTCTCTTAAGGAAATGATTAGTGTGTTACTTTAGTGGAAACACTTGCTTTCTAAAAATTACACAGATACATAACCTGTCTGGAACTCTAATTCTAGTCATTGTACCCTGAAAAAGCTGGAAATAATTTTATATTTCTCTGTAATTTTAATTGTTTTTAAGTTACTGTAAAAACAAAACCATGCATTTATAAGATGTCAGTTAAGACATCTTAATTGACATTGTAACATAACCCAGTCTTTTCATCTGTTTGGCACAAAATAATAAGATAGCATAAAAAATAAGGAGACCTAGTATAGTTTGGAATGCATTGTACTTATTAATAAGTTGGGTACTCAGCAATACGTTATACACACAATATTCTGTCATAGAACATGCTTAATATGTGCACAGCTTTTTCCTTACAAAGTAGTGAGCGAGAAATCCCTTTTAACAAGTATCTGTGCCAAACTTTAAGTRTCAATTAATTAAAGATAGATGCACTTTGTTAGCTTTGGCACCATTTCTAAACTGCCAATAACAACCACTTTGATTGCAAAGAGATAACTTAGGATTTTGTACTTATTTCTACAACTTTTCAGCCTAAGATTTTGCTGAGTTACCATAAACTTTCTCATTCTGTGTACTTAGGTAGAGAGTAAATRCTAGAATGGAGTGAGCTCGTCATGTTGTTAATATGTAGCCTTCCCTTCAAAAATCTGCGTTTGTGCTTCTCATCACTCTTTCATTCTGTTGCATTGAAGGGTCACCAATCCCTGTGGGCATTGACGTGCAGGTAGAAAGCATTGACAGGATATCTGAAGTTGACATGGTAAGTTGGTTAGAACTGGAATTAAGAATATTAGCAAAAACTCAGGGTCTTATAACATCTACCTGTACGATATAGAAAAAGTACAGATGAGGAAAACATGAGAAGATGAAAACAAAACCTTAAGGCATGTAAGCAATTCTCTCTTAAATTAATGAGGGCTTCATAAGAGCCCATACTGAATTCCTCCATGGACTAAAGGAACAGAACAGAGTGGATAGGGCTCTGATTTGAAAATACCAAATATTCTAAGTCCCATAGGCTTTTCAGTGCTCTGTGCTTTTGAAGATCAGGCTTCATGTACTTTGATTTCCTTTACTTATGCAGGCTGAAATATTCCCATCATTTCTARCACAGGTCTGTGATCATAACAGACAGAAGTAGAAAAATCAGCTCCTGAAATGATCTTAGGATCCTTCACTGCAATAGCTGTGSAATGCAGGCTGTTCATTCCTCAGGCAAGAGCGTCACTAAGAAATGTAGCCCAGGCATTAGTGCCAAGTTACAGGGCACATTAACTTGATAATAGGGATCTCATTTACAATATCTTATCATATTGAGTATAGTTCTAGCCCCAGTGTTCAGCTTACTATAGGATCTGTCAGTATAACTGCTGCGTTCTTCTGGACTCCAGCAGAACTTGCATGGGCATAAATCACCTTACAGCAGAAAGCCCAAGTCACTTCCCACTGTTCTTCTCACAAGTATTGCACTGAAGTAATGTCTGCTTAATAACACAAGAGTTACATAGCACAGAGCAATTGGTCTGTGCAGAAACTCAAACTGGTTTTGAAGTTTACCTCCAGCTCTTCCCGTATGTGTATTTGCAGTCCTGTTATTTCTCTAAATAGGATCATAAGGTATTTTAAACAATTTTTGATACTAAAAATTCATAATTCTTGTCATTTTGAATTTACTGTTATGAAATTCACAGCATTCTTTCTTATAATTTATCTCATTTATAAAAATGTACTWATTTAAAAATCCTGCAATACAATATTTCTACAAAATGTACAAATAAACAGACTGTACAAATTGATGCAATGCTCATGAAAAAGAAATTATATTCTTTGTAAGGAACCATAGTCCATTCTGGAAAGAGCCCTTGAAAACTTTCAAACGAATCTCCCTTGCATTCTTCTTTGTTTGGCTTTGAAGCTTCTTTTTCACTTCACTAATCAGACCACTGAAAACTTTCAGAGTTTTGTCTCAGYACAAAGGAGCTAGGAACCCCAGATTCAAACAGCAGTGGTAAGTCAAACAGCAGGAATTTCAAAGGTTACTCCAACCTATATTTAATCCCATGGAGTGGCTTTTGATTCTTCTCTTTGAGAACTTTTCGAATGTTATTCAGAAYAGAAATTGATCGGTTACATGATTGCTTTGTACTGCTTACTATTGTATGTGAATAAAATATGCATTATCTTCTTTTATTTTTAATTAAACAAAGGACTTCACAATGACTTTATATCTCAGACATTACTGGAAGGATGAGAGACTTTCATTTCCTAGTACCAAAAACAAAAGTATGACTTTTGATGGAAGACTGATAAAAAAGATCTGGGTACCTGATGTTTTTTTTGTACACTCCAAAAGATCTTTCATCCATGATACAACTGTGGAAAATGTCATGCTCCGAGTCTATCCTGATGGCAATGTACTCTTCAGTCTACGGTAAGAACAACACCCTTTTATAAGAAAATACAACATAACTGCAACTGTTGAGCCATGGTCTGTAGAGTGAAAAATTACTGGAAACCCTAGCAAGTAAGATTTTGATATTGGGTTGGCATTAATCTCCTGGGGTCAGGCACTGGGTAATGATGACCACTGCACACTCCCAGTTTACCAGAGGAAAATAAATCCAGGACTGACACCAGATATTATATTCTTTCATTCACTTGTGGTTTCCAGTTGCAGGATGATGACAAACTTTCCTGTTGTAAATACTACTGAAGTTTAGCAAATTCATTGCCAGTGGTTTTAGCAATATTGCAGTCGTTTTGAGTACAGTAAAACAAAACACAAAATTAAAAGTAAAGTATTAGTAAAGAACTTTTTTTTTTCCTTTTTTTCCCCCCTTCAGTGTCTTTTAAACTTATCCTGGCTATTTTTAACCTGACATATTTGTGAACATACTATGTATATTAATCAAGGCTCCAAGTAGGCACAGAGAGCAATTATTGGTCTTGATACCAGCAGTTTTAGAGAGGCACATTGAGTGACTACAAGGAACCGGAAAGTGAAGCAGCAGTTCCAGAACTGGCACAGCAAGGTCATTAAACGTGTTCTTCCCTCTTAGCTATATGCTATTGCTTTCCTTATTGAGCAGATTTGGATACTGTGAAAAAAAAAAAAGGTTTTAATGAGGATTTTTCCCCCCAAGGTCAGCCTGAGGCTCATGTATTGTGGGAATCCCAGTTCTCTAGTTTGTCAYTAATTATACTTGTGCACAGAAATGGCATTTCATCTAACCTGAATAGTTCAAAGGTCTATGCAAGCACTTGATTTTTTTTTTTGCTTGGCAATAAATTTCCAACAAGAGATTCATAAATTAAATCATGCTTATGAATCATATACAAAAAAAATACAATCAGAAACTATGAAATGAACTACTTTATATTTTATTATTATAATCATTTCCATGCGTCATGGAAGAAAGCGATCAGAGGAAATACACCAAGGCTTAGAGAAACACAAGGAGTATGACATTTATGGAGGAAGGAAGGAACAGTGGTGAACAGACATAACGTGAGCAAATACATTCTGTCAGCTTGCTGGAAGGATAAGGTATCCTCAAGATTAATAATAAGAAATTGTGTATAACAAGCTCTTATTAYGAAAAGAAGGGAGGAGGAAATGGGAAGGAATCTCACAGAGGTGGAGAGAAGGGAAAAGGTGAGGTGAGGGAAAGGAGAGCGGAATGCAGAGGAAGCAGGGCAGAGAGGCAAATACACACACTGTAAATTGACATTTTGAAATGATTAAGGTCAAACAATGTGTTTCTAGACTGCTAATGCTTATGTTCCTAAACAATCAGATGCTCACAAAAACCCTCTTTTTATATTGCCAGATTTACATGCAATGGGTAGGTTATAATCCAAATCCTTATTTGCAAGAAATCTGCATATTCTACAGATTTCTTCAGCATCCTGCATCCAGGGTTTTACTGAAACAAAGCAGAACAAAAATCTAGATTTGTTGCTAAAGTGGTCTTCGTTTTTTCAATCACTATTTGACTTGCTAGCCTCTCATTTCATAGGCAATAGCTGAAAGATTGAAACAGCATCCATTTGTGGAAGTCTTCTGTATCATTTTAGAGATGTATCATTGTCACAACTTCATTTCAACCCACTAAAATCTCATGCATGGAAAAAGTCAGCTACAGTGGGATTACTAAACAAGGGTTTTCAAAGATCATTTGCATTACCAGTGTTGTCTTTGTTACTTATATTCGTGAAGGATTCAGTATAGGCAAAACTCTGAAAAATCAATGCAACTATATGAAATGCAAGCTGTGACAGGGAAAGGAAGTTTAGCAATGTTTACTATTTTAAATTTTAAATTGCTGCCTTTAGACTTATTTTTGATTACTGGGTAAAATATCACAGGCATTTATCTCGTGTTTCTGGGAAAGCAGGTAGAATGCAAAATTTGAATTTTCTACCATTTTAGGGTACAAGGCTCTGGATATCTAATATGACTCTGCTAAGTAATGCTTCTTTTCATTTTTAGTTTTGTGAGCATTTCTATGGTGTTGAAGGGGAGAGCAGACTTTCAAAAGTCACAGTTTACCTTTTTATGCAATTAAATACTATAACCACTCTAGCTGTGGGAAAAAAAAAAAGCATTTAGAATAATATTTGCTCTAATCTTTAGTATCTTCTTCAGTCTATGAGAAATCCAGTCAAGAAATGTCAGCTTCCCTTGTTAATCTTCATAAGTGTAATCCTTCAAAGCAAAACATGTGAAAAGCTAATGGAGAACCAGGCCAGTGAAGGGCTTAAAAAATGAAGGTAATGTACTCACTAAAAAAGATTGTTTATGTTTTAAAGCACACATTATTTCACTGGCTGTTTTATCTCATTATCCTAAAGCAATTTTAGAACTGTCTAAAAAATAAAAATGTAGAAAAATTGAATTCTAATTCAGATTCTAATCCACAGATTGGTTGGGGCTCTCAGTAGGATGTCTATATAGCCTTGAGGAAGTTTAAAAAAATGTTCACTTAATTTGTTTTTCTGTTCCTTTCTGCAGAATAACAGTTTCTGCAATGTGCTTCATGGATTTCAGTAGGTTTCCTCTGGACACTCAGAACTGTTCTTTAGAACTGGAAAGCTGTAAGTTTAATTAATACTTGTTCTTCATTTCTTAACCAGCACACCATTTTGTTCATATTATGTTTTTCACAGCTTTCAATATGTGACCTCAGCCATTAACCTGTGTGTAAAAAAATGGCCAGCTTTTGATTGTTCTTGGAACAGTTTGGGGAAGTTGGAAAACAAAGACAGAAACTCCTTTTTTTCTGACTAGCTGATATTCCAAGGCCTAAATCTAAAAAAAAAAAAAAAAATCTATCAGAAAACATGCTTTGCTTGAGGACAAAATGCAAGTTAAACCTGAAATACAATGTCTGGATTTGATCTCAAGAAAACATGGAAAGGGAGAGTTGTGTTATAGTGAATAACTATATAACTATTGTAGCAGAGAGCTACAAAGATGATTAAGGGACTGGAGCATCTCTCTGATGAGGAGAGACTGAGTGAGTTGGGCCTGTTTAGTCTGGAAGAGAAGGCTGAGAGGGGATCTGATTAACATGTATAAATTCTTGAAGGGGGAATGTAGGGAGGAAGGGGCCAAGCTCTTCTCAGYGGTGGCCAGTGACAGGACAAGAGGAAATGGGTGTAAATTACAACACAGGCAGCTCCAWCTCCCTGTGAGGAGGAACTGCTCCACTGTGAGGGTGCCAGAGCCCTGGCACAGGCTGCCCAGGGAGGYTGTGGAGTCTCCTTCTCTGGAGATCTTCCAAACCCACCTGGATGCCACCCTGTGCCCYGTGCTCTGGGTGTCCCTGCTGGAGCAGGGGGTTGCACTAGATGATCTCTAGGCGTCCCTTCCRACCTCAACCAYTCTGTGATTCTGTGAAATGTCTGCTTTTCCACTGCAACTCTACCTTTTATAGGAAGTTGCAGAACAGGACAGAGAAAGGTAATTCTATCTTGCAGAGCATTTTCGTTATCTCCAAATTTATTTGTAACCTGATTATGAGCAGAACTGAGATGCTGGATTTTTGTTTGGTTTCTGCCAAAGGGAACAGGCTCCTAGTGTTCAGGCAGCTTAGCATGGCAGCTCCAGAGCTGTGTGCCCTGGGTCACTGAGCGTGACAGCTGTGAGGACTGGGACTCACAGCTGCCTGTGTCCCTCTTTCTGCTGTGTCAGGGAAACTTCTGGCAGGGCACAAGACTGAGTCCCACTAGTACRAGATTGAAAATGGCCTCTGCAATATTTTCATTGTCAACTAAAGGACAMGTTGAGATAAAAAATATGTTTCTTTTTGTGATTTTCCCAAGTTGTTTAAGTGATCTCCTCTCCCTAAGAGAAGAAGCTCTGTTCCAGAGGAAATGATCRTTTAATTTTTGCTTTCTCACAGATGCGTACAATGAAGATGATTTGATGTTATACTGGAAACATGGAAACGAGTCTCTGAGCACAGATGAACACATCTCCYTGTCCCAGTTTTTCATTGAAGAATTCAGTGCTTCTAGTGGACTAGCTTTTTACAGCAGTACTGGTATAGTAAGCCCTTGGCGTGAGAAGAGAGAAAACTGTAGCACAATCACACACAATGTCCTTCACATTTTAATCTGTTGTTAATAAATGACTTGCTGCCTTTAAGGGATCTCCTGGTTAAAATGAGGTCTCACAGTCACTATGATCTGTTGGCTCTCTGTTCCTACATTATTTTTGTGTTATCTATGATGTGACACTCTTGATACTACAASAAGATGCCATAATCATAGCTATAGTTTAACATCTGGCAAAAAGAATCTGAAGAAAATGAGCATGCAGAACAGCTAAATATATGCTGTTGCTAGCTCTTGAAAAATCCTGGGATTTCTCTGAAAGCCTCTGGATTTGCAGGAGTATTTTGGTCCTCCTTGTTTATAGAAAACTTGAAAATGCAACTCCTGAAGGATCAATTACTGGAAAGCAAACAAAAGGAACCCCAGTGTGTTTCATTTTCTAAAATCTAGTTTTGGGATCTCTAAACATTATTAAMAAATGAGTGGCTATAAGATTTCTGCATGACAGCATTTATAACCTATTGAGGCCTAATTCATGGTTTGCCTAATGTGCCATGTTTATATCTAAAGTTATAAAAAGGAGTTCCTTTATGTCAGTGCTACATTTTTTAAATACAGATACCTGCACCAGACGGATTTTTATTCCTCCCTATAGAAGAGGAACCACACTTTCTGGCAAACTGTTCAAAGCCTTAGGAATTTATTATCCCCATGCAAGGAAGTATTTATCTATCTTCTTTGCATTGTACATGCAGTTATAAATTCTGAAACATTCCCCTGCATAAATAATCTAACCATACTTTTCTTAACCAGGTAAAATGGCACACTTGCTACCATGCCACTTGCTACTGCCAAATTCCGTTGTTTGCTGAATTTGTTTTCTGCAAACTCACATAATGGCTTCTTTCCACCTTGCTATTTCTCATCAAGAACATTTCTGCAAGGCAAATGCAACCCTGTGCACAATGGTGAAACCTTAGYGCATTCTTACACCCAGTTTTTCTGTGGCACCTTTACAGCACCTTTGATTTTGCAAAGTGTAACTGCCTGAGATTTAACAGGCAGATGTTTCAATGATCAGCTGACTCAGCAGGGCAAAGGCTCTTCTAAGTTACAGGGACCACGGGGAAGTACCTGAATAAATGCAGGTACCACATCTGTTGTTTAGAAAACGGCCATTTGTGAGTAGTCACTTCTCAGAAATGCTCTTTTCTTTGGTGTTTGGTTTTTATTTTAGCCACCAGGTTCCATTTTCTTTTGTTCTTTTACTTTGCTTCTCATTTCTCTTGTTGGAAGGAAGTGATTACATGTGGAAGAGCCCCCCAGCCACCCTGTAGTAGTTATAGGGAACAGGCAGCACAACTCTAATGGGAGGCCTCTCCCAATGGCAGGGAGAAGAATCTGGGACAACAGAACAGACCCAAGTGCTGCAGCGAAAACAGCCCTCTGCATGTTCAGGTTCTGTGTATCCTTTCCTGTCAATCCTGGTGAACTATACGTCTAGACAATGTCTCATTCACCACTCAGACATAATCCATTAGGTTTTGCCTCCTAAAGAGAGTTTTGCCAAGAAACATTGCAGGTTTCTGGGTTCCTTGGTTTCCAAAGGACCCATACCTTCAAACTGCTTTTGAGATAATCATTTTTAAAAACAAAAGCCCACTCCATGGCTGAAACCACACAGGATACRTTTAAGACCAGACAGGATGATTATCAGGACACTCGTTTTTTGAAGCAGCTCGTTGTAACTGTAATGGTGTAACTCTTCCAGCACGAGCTCATTTGTGTCTGCATTTGCAGCGTAAAACACAAGTGCTACACAGGCAGCTCTTCTGGCTCCTGTTCTCCTCCTTGCACACGGAAAAGCTTCCGCTGCTGCATTTCCATTTCCACTCAGCGCTGCTGGCTAGAGCTGGCCGAGCTGGTGGCACCAGGTGRCAGCTCTTGCTCTGCTGCTGGGCTGTGCTGGGCTGAGCAGAGGGGAGGGAAGGTGCTTGGTACCTGCTCATCCGCAGCCTCCAGAGGCAGCAGCCTCCAGAGGCAGCCCCCTTCCTGTCTTTGAGTACAGTATTTTATTGAGGCAGCTGTGATGCTCCACTCCCAAGGCAGCAGTATTTTGATGCTGCATGAATGTCAGTGTACCAAGCACTACATAAAATCAGGGTGGTGGCAGTATTTTGTATGCGCTGATTATTATTGGTGTGGGCATGTGGGCACACCAGACCTACTGGGGGACAGGGCCGGTAAACACAATTCAAAAATAATGCTGACCTCTTCTCTTCTCCCTCCATCCCTTCTTCTCTTTCTTCAATAGGTTGGTACAATCGACTTTTTATAAATTTTGCCCTCCGGAGGCATATTTTCTTCTTTGTGCTGCAGTCCTATTTCCCAGCCATGCTGATGGTGATGCTATCCTGGGTTTCATTTTGGATCGACAGGAGAGCCGTTCCTGCCAGGGTATCACTAGGTAAACCTTTACCTTATATCCTTTGAGACATACAGAATGGAGAGAGGAAAGGTGTTGAAGTTACTTTATCTACTCATTTACACATGTGTAAACGTATCAGGTAACTGCCTGAACAACATTATTATTGCTTTGGTTGTTCATACCACTGACTCTTGAAGTCAACCTCCAAGTTTGGAAAATSAGATATTTCTTCAGATTGACTTTGCTGTGCTAGAAAGCAACTCACACAGCACGGAGCGGTGATTCTTCCAATTTTGTGCTGTAGAATTGCACTTTATTTATTTTGATGCAAAGATTGTCCCCCCCACCCACCTCTCTTTCTCGGAGAAGTAATGTGTAGTCTTAGCATTTCCCAAATCTGTGGCTCATAAGAGATGCTTAGAAGGCACAGCACAACCTATCTATCTGATTTTATATTGTGCAGAATTCTCTGTGTTTCACTTTCTCTCCAGAATTTTTTGCTGTCTTCCAACCGCCTTGGACTCAGTTTCCCAAACTGTCCTGTTCTTTGTCAGATACTGGGTTTGATTTGGTTGCCTAATGTCTTATGCTGTGGAAGACAAAGAGTAAAGTGGGCACCCTGCTGCTCTCACAGCTTTAATTCTGAGCACCACAGGCTCAGGATAAAAAGGAATTAATTACAGTGTGTTTTTAATAACATTATTGGTTTTATCAGAGACAAATCACTTGATAAGATTTAAAGACTGTCTTCTGTTGGGAATTTAATGGTAATAGGCTTGGAATGATTTTTTTATTCTTTTTTTTTCAGTATCTCTCAGAAGATTTGGTGGAAAAGCACTGGGATATCTAATGTATCCATAAAGCATAGGAGTTTTCAGGCTGCCAGTTTAAGAATAAATAATGAAATTCCTTTTCTGTCTTCTTGCTGATAACCAGCCCCAGAAGTTGTCTATTTCTTAGACAGTCCTTGAGAATCCTGAATCCTTGTATAAGAATCAAACTTGCATGTACTGAGGAAGCTCTTAATCTTTATAGCTATGTTAATCTAGAATCTATAGGTATATTAATCTAGAAAAAATATGTCTACAGCTACATCAAATCTCTTTGTGTTGGCACAATACATGGAATATAAATCAGTTTGTTATTCTAAAAATAAATTACGATATCTCCTACCTACTGTTGAAAATACATCTACCAATTCTTTTTATTTATAATAAATGTAATTTTTTGTAATTTTTTTAAAAATAAACTTCTGAATCTCAGTAGGTCATTTGTAATACTGTCTAAATGGTTTTACTGATCACCTCAATTTATATATGGATTTCTATGGAAGGTTACATATCAGGCATATTATGAATAACACATTTCATCAGCATACGCGTACATAATTTATCAGCAATGTTAACATGAAAGTTTTTTTWAAAAAAATTAAAGTCTGTAAGATACAGATTTTTAATGCATACATTTCCTCTTCTATGGTATCTTCCAAACTCCAACATATAACCTTAACCTTAGGACCTTGCAGYGCAAAGAGAAGAAAAGCAAAAATTCTGATTTATTCAGTGATCTTGAACTAGGACTGACGAAAGTCAATACTGAGATGTGATGTAAAAGCTATGCCATCATACAGTGCTGTGATATAGGGATGTTGCTTGCATGTTTTCCCTTTTGGGATTTCAAAACTATTTTATGCCTTTAAAATCAATTTTGTNNNNTCTGTTTTTAAGATAGGACAAAAGTAGAAATCTTAAACAGACAACAAAAATGAGGGGAATAGGCACACATAAGAGGAGAATTTGGAAAGATGAGGGTGTAATTCTGGACACATGCATGCCAATGAAAATAACCTATCTTACTTTTGATTAATTCAGCCTTTTGTGCTGGAATGTTTTCAGAAAACCAAGGAACTATGACAGAAACATATGAGAACAAAACAATGTTGTTTCCAGGAAGTACCATTGGAGAAGAAATTGGGAAGAACTTTAGGGAAGTGCAGGAACTAGAAAGGTACCTTGCAGAGCCTCAGGCCCTGTGAAGTGAGGGAAGAATCCTTCCCCTTTCCCCACTGTAGCAGGCTTGGTTCTCCCCAAGCAGACTTGGTTCACTCCGCTTTCCAGAGCCTGGATGAGGATGATGAAGGTGGTGTCAGCCATATGACCAGGTCGAGCAACTCRTAATGAGCTAAACAGACCCGCTTTGGTGGTGCTATGATAATGTCCCCTTTGTGCTTGGCAGGTATAACTACGGTGCTGACAATGTCAACCATCATCACCGGAGTAAGTGCCTCAATGCCTCAAGTGTCTTACATAAAGGCYGTGGATGTATATCTGTGGATCAGCTTCCTTTTTGTCTTCCTGTCTGTCATCGAATATGCTGCAGTGAACTATCTCACCACAATYGAAGAGAGAAAGCAGCTCAAGAAAAGGGGCAAGGTACAATCCTGTGTTTTGTGGCCTTCAGAAAACATCACAGAAGCTGCACAGTAATCCTAATACAGCACTGTGGTAACTGTTCAGTAATTACCTCTGTCACTTCTCCCSATATCTCTCTTTTCCTTTCTTGACTGAAGGGAGGAAAGGTGTCACTCTGCTTGGGATCTTGGGAACGTCTCTCTCTCCTCCTCTTCTTGAGACAGAAATTAGGGAGTACATGTCTATTTTTCCCCTGACTAAGGTCTCCTTCACTATGTTTCTCAAACACCTGCTTATCAAGAGATTCCCAATAGTCTGGTGTTTTCCTCTCTCTGAAGTGAAACCTAAAATATCTTGGTGAAATATCCCCTCCTGCTTCCTGTGGAGAAAAGWCTATTTCTCTTTTTTCCTGCTTTCCCAAATTAATTTAGGCAGATTGGCTTAATGATATCTTTTTTTGTCTGAAGATGAGGTGAATGACACGGTCATTTTTAAAACAGTGTGCCTGAAGGAGAAACATTTACAAGTTAAACATTTACTTCCCCTGACTTTTCTAAAACATGTGCTTAAAACCTTTGCATCAGTGAATATCCCCACATGTAAACTTTTTTTTTTTTTGAATATTACAAGAGGAAGACACACAAAGGATGCACATGTAGCTCATGTGATTTCATAATCCTGTCAAAAAAGTACGCTTGGAAATGTTCAAAATCACTTCCCACAGCTCTAACACAGACCTACAGGAGAGGCAAAATTTGATTTTTCTGTTTGAGAAGCTTGGACACATGTAAGTCAGCTGGCAATAATCAGTCAAACTAAGTGTGTTTATGACATATATCCCCTTCCTTGCTCATGTCACAAGGGGGCAGGCTCCCCAGATGACAGCATCTAAAGCTAGATGCATATTGTGGGGTGCCCTGTTCTCCCTGTACTCAACATGAGGAGCAACCTTGAAGAGAAAGCGTCGCTGATTTTCTCTTATTTTAGTTAATATGGCTTCTACCAGATAGGGAATAACTCTTCTTTGTTGCCAGGCTTCAGGCACGTACAGCATCGACGCCGTGCAAGCAATGGCTTTCGACGGCTGCTATCATGACACAGATGCAGACATGGACCTGCCTGCTTTCCCAGTCCGCTGTGAGGAGAACATGACTCGGGCACGGGCAGCCAGCATCCCCAACCTGAGTGCAACGCGCATCAAGAGGAAGAGATCTCTGAAAGGAAACGTGGGCAGGATTATTTTACAGAACAATCATGTCATCGACACATACTCCAGGATTATATTTCCCAGTGTGTACATTGTGTTCAACTTTTTTTATTGGGGTTTGTATATGTGAACAGAAATCACTAAAGGCTGCACATTATTTTGCATACAAAGGTAACATTATATTTCAAAAACAGTGGAACAGCAATAAAGAAACACGTTACGAGTTTCTGAAATGGCAGTGTCAAAGAGGGAATATTGTTTCGGTTAGCAGGAAAGCTGTTAACAAAAATCGCTCCTGAGCCTGGTTTCTTTTTCAGCGGGATCACACAGTGCTTCACTGTGGGTAAGCTAATGCACATGTACTGCAGCACGAGCGTAGAGGCAGTGTGCACACTACGGGGGCCCTCTATCACACACCTAAACAGGCAGCAGCTCCCAGCTCGTGTTATCCAGCCTCCATCTCCACTCCAACCATTTCTGTTTAATCAGGCGCTCTGTTTGTTCTCAGCTTGTGGTTCGTTTTAGTATGCAGTCAGCATGGATTGCCTCTGAATAGCTCTTACCCGGATTTCRCATAGTGTATTTTAATTCTGCTAGGCAACCTGTACACATCTCAGTAGCCTTTGTGCTTGGATGTTAACTACAGGTGAAGTGTTTGAACTAAGCAATGGATTAGGGACCCGCAGAAAGCACAAAGCAAACGTGATGGAGATCTGTACATRGTGCATTATTAAAGCTGCAGAAGAACCCCTGGCCCTGCTGGCTGTCCCTGACTTTCCCAGGACCACTAGGAAGAGCTTCCATCTTAGATCACCGATCCCTGAAGGTACCACAGGAATAACATCCCAGACACAAGGCACTTAGTGTCCTAGAGCTAGGACTAGCAATCTTCCAGGGAGATGAACAGCATCTGCACAAGGCAGGCCCCTCACGTCACGCACAGACCTACTGGCATCACCTGCTTTCTGCATAAGTGTTCATTTCAAAAACACAGGCTTTGAGGCAGAAATTTCAGACAACTTTGTCACGGAAACCAACCAATGCCTTTAGCAGAATCTGGCTCCTATATTGCATGCACAAGCTTGGGGCTCTGTCCCACCTTTGCCTTTTGGAGACAGACAAAACGAGCTCCGCATGCCTGCTTGCAGCACAGATTCTCATCACAGATAAAGATACCACAGTGAGACCAGAGGCACAYAGGAAATGAAGGGAAGCAGCTGTGCTGAAACAGAGCCATTCATAGCAATCCTGTCAGCCCCCGAGGAACCTTGCCTGGGTGTATCCTTAGGGTCAGSCTAAAGAGGTTGAATTAAGGACATTCACGGGTACAAGAAATGTTCACAGCTCCAGGAAAGAATGAAGATTAGTTTTGTGACTTGCCCAAATGTGGAGCCTTTTTCGACTGAAATTTCTTGGTTTTATCTATCATTTAATGAAGTGAGCTAAAATTTAACCAAGTGAGTTCAACATGATAATTTGTGTTGGCAGAAAATATCAAGAGGTAAATGCTTGGGCACTGCTCAGTTAAAATGAGGAAATGAGAATAAATTTGGAAGCCTGAATCACTCTCTGGCTTGCATGATTTTCCTATTCCAATATTGTTTATTCATAGCATGGTGATGTCTGTTACTCTTTTGAAAAGCAGCATTTGTGAAATCTCAATTACAGAGCTGGAAAAGCTGACGACGACACATTGCTGGGTGATTGAAATCTGATGGAGTGGGCACTTTGGCAGCCAATTCACTGCCAAACAAATGATCAGAGCTAAGACGGCTTTGATACTATTCCAGGGAACCCTATCATGGAAAGCAGAACTGTACCAGGAATGACAATTCTGGGAACATAAAGCCAAAGGACACACAGAGCTTTGGCAACGGCACAGCAGACATCAAGCCGAGCAGATGTGTTACGGACAAACCCCCCACCAGGGCATTCTTATGGCTGCACCGTCATTATGGAAACATCCTGCACACATATTCCAGCTTGCCAGAGAAGATCCCATGTGCAACATGTCCCCTGAACACTTCACATGAACTGATGTAACACCCTTGCTTGAACATACCAACTTTTATCTCACTTTCAGTAAGCCAAAAATGAATCCTCAGGCTCCAACTGAAAGAATACCCAGGTGGTTTCTTGATATAAATATTTTCTCTCTTCCAAAAGTCTTAAAGGATGTTTAGAGGCAGCAGCTCCACAGCGCTGAGTGCCCTAACTCAGTGTAGGCTGCCAAGCAAGCAAGCCCACCAGTGGAAGTGTAGGGGAAAGGAGGGTGATGCCTGCATTTGCTTTCTGCACGTGTGCGATAGAGGTGCCTGGGTTAGACTAGTTTGTCCCGAAAGCTGTCCAATTTTCTTTGACGGAGGAAACAATTTTTCACAATCCATCATAAAATGGAAGTGTAATTGTTGGCAAAGTGCTTTCCCCAGGAAAAATACTCCATAGAAAGGWTTTATTACGTCAATGAAGGAGATTGCACGTTCTGAGGACAAAACTTGTCAAATACTTTTACAAGGAAGTCTGTAATTTCAGTCTTCTTAGTGCAGTGAAAGAGGTGATATTGGGAATAGTTATGTTTCGCAAATGCATTGTTTGTAAAAATAGTAAATAATAACAATTAGTACTTTAATACTGTAATTCTTGTTTGGAGCACTTCCTAAGGATTAACTGACTAACCATCACATAATACCAACTTCTGAAAAGAGTTATTTTCTAGAAGAGGACAGTAATAAGTATTTTTAATCAATTTGCCTTGGCAGACCAGCATAAACGTCTTAAGAAAAGTATTCACAAGTATTTCCCATTCAGTGATTTGTAACTACTTCTGCAACCACTCGACTGTACAAGTTTTACTCCATTGCAGCATTTACTCAAAGTTACAACATCACAGCCATTGTGTAAATGCATGCTTGTTGCTTGAGTATTCATCCTAGGACCATGCATACAGTCATGCCAAAAGTACTTGGTGGACTTTGGGAACAGAAATAGCAGCTTGTAATGACTTCTATGACCAGGTAAGTGCAGCCTGTGGCCTCCTTATTTTTAGCATCTGCTGCTACACCTAGCTGTATTAAAACATCCTGTAAGTGATAAGGTGTTCAGGTCTGGAGAACTGCTTCATTCTTTACAGAGTTACAATTTTAATGGAAGAAGTAAGCAAAATTTCATGCCAGTGAATTGTTCTTCACAGAGGTACAAAAAAAAAAAAAAAAAAAAAAACAAAAAAAAAAAGCCCAACTCCCAAGAAAGGGTGAGAATTTACACTAAGATATTAATAATTCCAATACATTCTGCAATGTATCTTGAACACTGGGTGAAGTCATGATGAATAATGACTCAGAATTAGGAAGTACAGCATATCTTACTTTTTCTTCTGAAAGAAATCTTAATAGAGCAATGCAAAATTTATTAATTTCTGCACTTTTGTACAATTCAAATAGCCTTAGTTTCATTCATTGCAAAACTTTCTCTCCTGAATAACAAATCCACATGTTGTTTACTCAGGTGGCTGTGATTCTTCAGTCTGGTCAGATGATGACCCAAGTGCTTCAGGTGGTAAAACAAGGACAACAGAACAGGATGAACAATGTTTCCTTTCTTTCCTCCTCCCGCTATGTCTGCCTATTATATTTTGCCACTTCATTTATTCAACACAATTGGCCAATGGGGAAAATGAGTGGGCTACCTCATCCGGGAAATTTGGATGAAAGGGGCTGTGTGCGCCAGCAACTTGAGAGACCCCACAGGGCTATGCTGGTGGGCTCTGCCTTCATTCGAATAAAGTTGTAGGACTTCTCTGTCTGTCTCCTTTGTGGACATTCGGTTCTAGTTCTGGACAGTGAGATTTTTCCACATAACTGGGAACTTGTCTGGGATCCTTCCACCTTCTGGTGATTGTTTCCTTATCATCCCTTTCAATATGGATTTGCATTCCCAATTTAGCCTTCAAATCCTTTCCCAGCAGGAGATTGCAATTACAATTTGAGACAAAAAGAAGATCTCAAATTTATTACCCCCATCYACTAATAACAGCAGGATAAGAAGCACCTGCTCCTCACTTCCACTTCCCACTTGGATAACCAAGCAGCCTTTTGACAGTTGCTCTCCTTTTGGGTAATGTGTCAAAGGCTGGTCCCTCAGGGTCCAATTCCCCGTTTCCTCAAAGCATTCTGGTTCTTTCCAACCAATGAGAGGGGCTCTCATCCTTTTCCTGCTCCAGGGATATAGCCTTGGACAGATTATAAATTCTGGGGACTGCCAATTTAATGGTCTGATTATGTATGCTCGCTAATCCCAAAGGCTGGCTAAACTGACTCAAACATCTGGATACCAATGGGGATCTCCTGTTGGAATCATACCATCCACCATCGATTGCATTTTGAGCCACCTACAGCTGCCTGCCCTCCCATAATAGACAAGCTTTTTGCAATATCATCCTCTTTTCGCAAAAGAAAATCCCAGTCCTTCCAAGTGTAATGTGCATGTCCTAGATATTCATATATCTTTTTCCTAACTTCTATACAAGGGGGCAGTTCTTTCTTTAATCCCCTTATATAGGGTAGTCGGGGGCACAATCACAAAATCAAATCCCTTGTCCTGACCTCCCAGCCGAACCAGTCACAGAGGCATTTGCTTTTGGTGCCTTGTGTTGGATTCATTTTYTTGTTTTTGAACGGAACAAAATGCCCCATTCTTCCTCTTTTTCACAATTACTAGAAGCAGGAGGTGCAGRGGAGGGAGCAGGAGCAGCAGCTCCTGATGGGTTTTGATGATTAGATGGGGGAAGGTCCATTTTTCTCCACCTTTTTCCCTTTTTCTCCTCTCCCTTTTGTTACCTAGATTCCCCTAGGTGTTGCACTTAGCCATACTGACCCACATTCTTTCTCGATGGGACCCTTCTCAGTATTACTGAGACACATTCATAAAAATTCASAAAGACTATGACTGTTATCCAACCCTAGAGGGGGCCACCTAAATCCCCCTGGTAATGTGTATTTTGGCCTAGTGCTTCTTTCCATCGGACCTAGTGCTTTCCATCAGACCCAGTAGTCTTTTCCATCGGACTACTTGAGGACCCCCCTGGTCCTACCTGCAGATCCCCCTGATTCACTGATTGTATTTCTGGAGGAA